AATTTTTTTTTTTTTTTTTTTTTGAAACGGAGTCTCGCTCTGTCGCCCAGGCTGGAGTGCAGTGGCCGGATCTCAGCTCACTGCAAGCTCCGCCTCCCAGGTTCACGCCATTCTCCTGCCTCAGCCTCCTGAGTAGCTGGGACTACAGGCGCCTGCCACCACGCCCGGCTAAGTTTTTGTATTTTTAATAGAGACGGGGTTTCACCGTTTTAGCCAGGATGGTCTCGATCTCCTGACCTCGTGATCCGCCCGTCTCGGCCTCCCAAAGTGCTGGGATTACAGGCTTGAGCCACCGCGCCCGGCCCTACAATTAAATTTTTTTAACCTTCTGAATGTTTTCTTTTTATGGGAAAGCCACATTCAAGGGACAGTGTCACTCAGATGAGTGATGCCAGCTTTCATCGATGGTAAAAACATTACAAAAATGAAAACAAAACCTGACACCCTTAATCTGGTGTTTAGAACTTAAAATCAAGCACATGTCAAAATTCAAAGTCCAGTTGTGCTCACACAGTGCTCAAGCATATGGCCAAGGAGAAATCATTAATCTTGGTGAGTCTTAGTTTCGTCATGCCTGAAAGAAGCACATCACGCACATCTCAGAATTGAGATATCTATATCTCCCTCAAGTGAGAATATATGTGAAAGTGCTTCACAATCAGTACTGTCCAAATACCAGTGATGATGAATTTGTGTGCTCAGAAAGATTCCTCAAACAAAACGTAGCTGCAGAACAAACCTATTAAAATGCAACGGTTTATGAGAGGCATGTATAGACACAGCCTTAAAGAATGAAGGTTGTATTAAACAATAAACCTCAAAGCACGATCTCCTCACTGTCTATTAGGTTGTAAGGATTTAGGGGAGGAAAAAAAGATTTGAATGAAAACTCTGTTTAAAAAAAAGCAGAGGCAGCGTGACATGGTGGTTCATGCCTGTAATCCCAGCACTTTGGGAGGCCGAGTTGGGTCGGTCATGAGATCAGGAGATCGAGACCATCCTTGCCAACAAAGTGAAACCCCGTCTCTACGAAAAATACAAAAAATTAGCTGGACATGGCGGCACACACCTGTAAGTTTGGCAAAATGACCTGGAAGGCCCACTAAAGCTCTGATACTCTATGCTCACATTTTATCTGCAATTCACTACAGGAATATGTCTGAACTTTTCACATCTATTCTTCTAAAACTACTCCCTGACAAACACATTTAAAATGTTAAAAATTTTAATTTTAAATATTAAGGTAGTTGCATAAATCCATGCAGTGTCATGTATGACTTTTTACAAAGTAGATGTAAGCCAAAGTCATTACACCAAATTCACTGCAGCCAGAAACACTGTTGTTATCCTCCATAAACTCAGGAGGCTGAGGCAGGAGAATGGCTTGAACCTGGGAGGCGGAGGTTGCAGTGAGCCGAGATCACGCCACTGCACTCCAGCCTGGGCGACAGAGCGAGAACCCATCTCAAACAAAAAAAAAAGAAAAAAAGAAAAGGAAAGGGAGGACAAAAAAGCATTTGGGCGTGATACCACTGTGTCCAGTGGCAGTATCAGTGGCCCTCCTGTCTTCAGATATGAGATTTGGGGCATTTGCTTAGGTGGAATCAAAAACATTGCTGAACATCAAACAATGGTCTGAAAGTATGGGGCCTGCTGTGGGGTGGGGAAAGAGGCGGGGGAGGGATAGCATTAGGAGATATACCTAATGTAAATGATGAGTTAATGCGTGCAGCACACCAACATGGCACATGTATACATATGGAACAAACCCGCAGGTTGTGCACATGTACCATAGAACTTAAAGTATAATAATAAAAACACAAAAACAAAAGAAAGTAAGTATGAAGTGTGGCTTGCTGGAGAACATTTTTCTGACCTGGGCTCACTCTCCTGCATCTTTCTAGAGTTGGTCTTATTTCCTATGTTCCTTTTTAGGAATGAATTTTAGATTTCCCCAATTGAGAACCTTCAAATAATCCCATTATCTACAAAAGACAGATTAAAATCATAATCTAGCATTTAAACGTGTCTACATGCTGTCTGTAGGAAACTCCCAGACCTATATTCTCTCTTTTTTTTTTTTTAGACAGAGTCTCCCTCTGTCCCCCGGTTGGAGTGCAGTGGCACGATCTTGGCTCACTGCAACCTCTGCCTCCCAGGTTCAAACAATTCTTCTGCGTCAGCCTCCTGAATATCTGGGACTACAGGCAGGCGCCACCACGCCCAGCTAATTTTTGTATTTTTAGTAGAGATGGGGTTTCACCATGTTGGCCAGGCTGGTCCCAGACCTATATTCTACTACACGCCTTCGAAGGCTTCATCTGCAGCCATCTGGTTGCTTACAGATCTCTAAATGCGGCCTTGGCGCTTGCAGCCCTGTGGCTCAGGCTATTCTGTGCTGCTGTCTCGAACAATACAATTCCACTCACCCCTTCAGATGAAAATCCAAGTCTTTTAGGCCGGGCGCGGTGGCTCAAGCCTGTAATCCCAGCACTTTGGGAGGCCGAGACGGGCTGATCACGAGGTCAGGAGATCGAGACCATCCTGGCTAACACGGTGAAACCCCGTCTCTACTAAAAAAAAAAAAAAACAAGCCGGGCGAGGTGGCGGGCGCCTGTAGTCCCAGCTACACGGGAGGCTGAGGCAGGAGAATGGCATGAACCCGGGAGGCGGAGCTTGCAGTGAGCTGAGATCCGGCCACAGCACTCTAGCCTGGGCGACAGAGCAAGACTCAGTCTCAAAAAAAAAAAAAAAAAAAAAAAAGAAAATCCAAGTCTTTTAATAAGAATTATCTGACTGTGTCACCTTCAAAAGAATATATCACTATCTTCTTTGCGTTCCTGCAGTATAGGCCGTAGCCTCACACATAACATTACAGGCTATTAGAAGATGAGAACGGAGTCCTATTTCTCTTCCTCTCAACTATCCACTTTTCTGCCTCATCAGTTCCCCCAAAAGACCACAGGGCCTGCTACAGATGAGGAGCTGAGTACACATTTACAGGGACAAAGTATAATTTTACTGCTCACAGGATGGACAGAGCCAAGAGCAGGGACAGCGAGGAAGAGCTAAGCGGTAGTATATGTTGCCATGAATCCCCACATTGCTGACAATTCCATTATATGTTTAGAAAAGGTAAAGGGAATGTATCTAAAGAAGACAGCAGCCAGGCACAGTGGCTCATGCCTATAATCCCAGTGCTTTGGGAGGCCAAGGCAGGCAGATCGCTTAAGGTCAGGAGTTCCAGACAAGCCTGGCCAACATGGCGAAACCTTGTCTCTACTAAAATACAAAAATTAGCTGGGCGTGGTGGCAGGCGCCTGGAATCCCAGCTACTCAGGAGGCTGAGGCAGGAGAATTGCTTGAACTTGGGAGATGGAGGTTTTAGTGAGCTGAGATTGCGCCACTGCACCCCAGCCTCAGCAGCAACAGAGAGAGACTCCGTCTCATAAAAGAAAAAAGAAGAAGAAAGTGCTGCCACCTTACAAGCAGTTAAGTATTGAAATGAATGACAGCAGAGAAACAAGACTGGTTTTTAATTCAAGAAAGGAACCACTGTAAATACAGAAGCTGCCATTCAAGAATTGGAGTGAGGTTCAGAGGCCGTACGCATTCTCACTTAGTCAAACAAATGTCACGCAAGAGTCCAACAGCACGGTGACAATACTGCTTGTCCAATGTTTGCAGCTCCAGTTCTGATGGCTGTCTTCTGAGGACTTGGAAGCCCTGAAACAGATTTGCTACAACTCTTTCAAGACTTTAGAGAGGCAGGGAATGATCACTGGCAGTTGGAAGATCAGCTTCTGGAATGCAGACATTAAGTGAAGATGCAGAAAAATAGCCAAGCTCCAAAGTAGGCAAAAATAAAAATGTAAACAATAAAAAAGCAAAGAAAAGCTAACAAGGCACCATTTGCACTTAAAAAACACAGATTAATTGCAGCCATCAAATTCTAGTGAATTTGAGGAGAAACGGATATATTCAAACTAATTGGTGGTACCAGTATAAACTATTCACAACCTTTGGAAAGAAAAGTAAATAAAGTGGTCACACTCATCAATGTAGCAACCCCACTCCTAGAAATCTGAGGCCAAGAAATAACTCAAATATACACAATATGTCCCTTGTAGCATTATTTATAACAATGACAAAAATAATGAAAACCACCTTAATATCCAACAAAAGTAATTTCTTTGCAAAAGACACAGCTCTTCACCTCAACCTTGCATAGCCAAGCTAAATCATATTTGTGAAAACTATAACAACATGTAACAAAGTAACCATATAGACAAAGCTGCAAAAAGAGCAAGGCAATGGAATAAGAGATTTACTTGTTTATATCATATTTTTGTATAATGTTGTGTTATTTTTAAAGAAAGTACTCAAAGAGTCAATTTAAGAAATTTCTGCCAGTTGACTAACACACATTGATATTAAATAAAAAGACAACTTAAATCATTGACTCTAAGAAGATCAAGAAAGAATAAAAGGACCGGGCATGGTAGCTCAGGCCTGTAATCCCAGTACTTTGGGAGGCTTAGGCAGGCAGATCACGAGATCAGGAGTTCAAGACCAACCTGACCAACATGGTGAAACCCCGTCTCTACTAAAAATACAAAAATTAGCCAGGTGTGGTGGCACGTGCCTGTAATCCCAGCTACTCAGGAGGCTGAGGCAGGAGAACTGCTTGAACCCGGGAGGTGGAGGTTGCAGTGAGCCAAGACTGTGGCATTGCACTCCAGCCTGGGTGACACAGTGAGACTCCATGAAAAGAAAAGAAAAGAAAAGAAAACAAAAGAAAAGAAAAGAAAAGAAAAGGAGAAGAGAAGAGAAGAGAAGAGAGGAGAAGAGAAGAGGGTAGGAAGGATAAAAGAAAGAAAAAAAGAAAGAGAAAGAAATAAAGAAAAGAATAAAACAGCTCTCAGATGCAGCACGTTCTTTCCTATAAAAGCAGCATATCTGGGAATGGCTGTGTGGAGACGATTGTGGGTGGCACTAACCTGCGGAGGCCGAGGCTTGTAGGGGGAGCTGCACTCAAGGTCAGCCAAGATGCTGGTCAAGGAGTCAATCTCAGCGTCCAGGCTGGAGCGCCTCTCCTCAAGTGTCTTGCCTCCGGGATTTCCTTGCTGGAAGCAACGCAGACATGTTAATAAAGGAAATTTCCATTGATATCATTATAAGTTCAAATTTCTCAAGTTATAATGTGGCTTTGTCCAAGTTTTTCTGCACCTCTTTTTTTTTTTTTTTAATTAAGCTTTCATAAAATCTTAGTGAGGTAGGCTGAGATAGAATTATCACTTTGTGACAGATATGAAAACTGAAAAATAAAAGATTTGTCCCAGGTCACACACTTATTTAGAAGTTTTGTTTTTTTTTTTAAATAAGTATACAAGTAAAGGAAAATAAATGTCTCCATTCCTGCACTTAAAGAGCAGAACCAGCTGAAGAGAGCTCACAAGCTCTTGGTGTTTTGAAACCACTGCCTAGAATAATATTTATCAGAGTAGCAAGGAGCAGGGAGGGGACACTGACATTCCAGAAAGAGGAATCAGCACTTGAAGACATTGGAGCGTGAGAGTGCTTGGAAGTCTGAGGTTCGGGGGTGTCAGGTATGCGTGTGTGCTAGAGATGGAAAGACCCAAGGGATGCACCTAGAACATGAACTGGAAAGAGACCTCTTAGGGTTCTGCCAAGGGGCTGCAGAGGAAGCATGTTGCAGTGAGCATAGACAATGAAGTCAGGATCTCCAGATTTCCTATGTCAGAGCCTCGTATCACCTGCAGTCAGAATCAACAGGAGAGCAGAGGGCAATAATACCGAGACAGGGTGTTTCCAGGAATTATGATCAAGTTTGGGAAAAAGAAGCAAAGAATCTGCCTAGAGTTAAAAGCAAGAATGTATAAGGTGAGATGACCCCAGTATTCGGAGGCAGGGTGAAGTAAAAAAAAATAACCTTTTAAAGTGACAGTTTAATAATGATCATGTATGTGTATGGAAGAAGCTCTTAAAACTTCATTAAGAGACCAAAGTGTATCTTTAGCAAGACTCAATGGCAATACAATAGTGGAAAGTTACAATAATCTGATCAATTCTATTGGACTTGCCTAAGGACGTAAAATATCAAGAGAGTATCTGGTGTCTGCAAGAGTTTAGAGAAAGCATTAACCAACCAAGAAACTAGAATATCTTCAGTAGGAACAACAAGTAGGGTGCCATGACAGGCTAGCACTAAATCTTATAACCCTTGAAGTCAATCTGTCACTTTAGTGAATACGTTGAAGCAGGTGTAAAAGGTAATGGCCTGTGAAGACCACTAGTTCCGTATGCCCTAGTAGCTTACTCACCAAACCACCTTACCTGAGTCTTGCAGCTTATTTAACTTTCTGTGTAAAAGAAACATAATGGGATCTGGTGCTTTGATCATTCTTTTTTGAACTTAGTTAATCCTTAGCTTGAGTTAATCCTTCCTGGGCCTGATCTGTCTCAAGCACAGTAACATCAGCTGGCTCTGAAGTTGTGGCCCAGGTCCTTGGAGCCAAACCTACCTCAAGAGGCAGTTGGCTTCCTTGTTTGTGAGCCCTCTTTAAACATGGATTTCAGGCCAGACACGGTGGCTCATGCCTGTAATCCCAGCAGGTTGAGAGGCCAAGGCAGGTGGATTATCTGAGGCCAGGAGTTATCTGACCAGCCTGGCCAACATGGTGAAACCTGTCTCTACTAAAAATACAAAAATTAGTTGGGCGTGGTGGCAGGTCCCTGTAATCCCAGATACTTGGGAGGCTGAGGCAGGAGAATTGCTTGAACCCTAGAGGCGGAGGTTGCAGTGAGCCAAGATCGCACCACTGTACTCCAGCCTACATGACAGAGTGAGACTCTGTCTCAAACATATATATATACACACACACACACACACATACACACACACACATATATACACACATATATATTTTATATAGATACAGAGAGAGAGAGAGAGAGAGAGAGAGAGAGTTCACATTATCACATTATCTAGAGCAGGCACCTTATGATTTTCTCCTTCTGGATGTATTATTATGACCCCTCTACATCACATCATCTTATTCCCTTACCCTTTTAAATCTATTTTTTTAATAATAACTACCACCATGTGTATTTTTCTGTTTATTTTCAGTCTCCCCCCAGAACATATAAGCTTCATGAGAAGCTTTGTCTGTTTTGTTCCTTTTTCCTAGGAATCTCGTTCAAGGCCTAGCCCATATAAGTGTTTAATAAGTATTTCTGAATAAATAAACCAATGAATAATGACAGACTGTGACACAGGCAGTAACTTTTCTCATAGCACTATCTTTTGGGTAAACACAGTCAGAGGTACAACAGTAAGCAGTGGATACTCTAGAATTTGATATAAAAAGGGAACCAGAGAGGTTCAGTGTGCATCTGTGTGTGCACACACGTGTGAGTGTGTACATGCTCACACTGGTAAGCATGTGTATATCATCAAGCTGGATGGCCTAGATTTGAAGGCTAGCCTTGTAAAATTGAGCGATTTTCTTCAACTCTCTTGCCATAGCCAAAAATAGAAAAAGAGTGACACGACAGGTTGGTTGAAATTCAGACTTTTCTGAGTCTGAATTTCCAGTCTGATTAAACCGTTTAAGGCCAACAGGTCTATATACTGAAAACAGATGTTTTCAAGGTGCTAATCCCTCTATCAGAGGAGATTTCATGTTTATCTCAAAGGGCAGTAACAACTATGACACATTGTGGTATTATTAAGAAAAATTCCATTTAACATTTAAAATTCATGTGAACATTCTGGGTAATGGGTCCTGGTACAAGGAAAGGCAGGACATTACTGTTATGGAAGGCAACTAAAAACTGAGTAAAGTTGATTCTCTTGTGTGCAGACATAAAATATTATAGTAGACATAAACTTGGTAAGTGTATTTCCACATACTCTTAGATAGTCCAATATATTGGCAAGGGTGGTAGAGTGGTGTCTGCTTAAATCTTTCCCTGGGCCATAGTTTTCTTACCTATAAAACGAAGAGAATATCACATGTTTCACCTAAGCCAGGGTGATGTTATAAGATTCAGATAAGAAAATGGATGGGAAAATACTCTGTAAGTTGTAAAGTGCTATAATTATGACGATTTTCCTAAATAGCATTAATTATAGCAACCAGTAACTATAAATTAATATGAATAATATAGCTATTGTTAATTATTCTTCTTCTTGAGGGAAGCATCATTCATTAAGCATTCCCTCGGGGTATTAGTAAAGAGACAGGATTTAATCAGGTCTTCTACATCTGTACTTTACTGAAGCAGAAAGTACATCAACTGCCTATGGCTGAAGTCACTGCAATATCTAACCACTGAGACTCAACAAGTCACAGAATTACCCTGAACTATACAATAAAACAAGTAATTATGATATGCAACCAGTCTGTGCTTGTAAGACATCAATTAGTTTCCAGCGTCCTTATTCTCCCTACCCTCTAAGTTCAGACTTCTCCCTATTTTCAGTTTCTCAAATTAGGTTGATGCAATTTATTACAAGTTCCAGTCTAACGCTGTGTGATTTTGCACAAAAACTGGGTAACAGGGCAGCACGGTGGGGCAGGGGGAGAAGATTGTGCAAATACTATAGTAGCTTTGCTCCTATATTTCAATCCCATTATGAACTAGAATAGGCCTTTTTTTTTTTTACTCTCAAGGCTTAATTTTATATCTCAGTTCAAATAACTGTTGCCCTGCCCAGGTCCTGCCACAAATCTCTAGACACTCATTTACTTTTAGATTTAGGGGCTCTTGCTACTTTCAACCCCTTATACCAGAGACCAGGATCCAAAATCCTATAACCAAGCAACAGAATCCAATAGACTTACCAACATGTCTTCTCCCTAACTTCCTATCCTTGTAGCTCTGCTAGTTACCTGATTGATAAATGACCTTCCCAACACCAGTAACAAGGAAGGTTCTCCTGACTAGTGCTTTTTCTAGTTATCACCACAAACTTTTACAAAGTAGTTAATGTAATTATAACAATCCCCACACTCTTCCACCATCACTAGAGAGATTTCAAAGATTACATCGTCTTAGTCTGTGTTCTGCCAAGAAAAACAATGCCTGCGAGAAAAGCTTGCATGTAGGTCATTTATTTTGGGAATCAATTCCGAGAAACAGTACTGAGGGACTAGAAAGAGTTAAGCAGAGAAGGAAGGAGATATGGTTTGGCTGTGTCTCCACCCAAATTTCATCTTGAATTGCAGCTCCCACAATCCCCATGTGTTGTGGGCAGGACCGTGGGGGAGATAATTGAAACATGGGGCCAGTTTCCCCCGTTTCCCCCACACCGTTCTACTGGTTGTGAATAAGTCTCACAAGTCTCAGAAGGTAAACGAATGTAGAGAAGGCCCGGCACAGAAAGTAAGTGAAAGGTGTTGCAGTTGAAGCCAAGTGCTACCAGGTCACAACTGTGCAGAGCTGATCGCTGTAGCAGCTGCTGGTACACGAAGGTGGGAGGGGAGGATGCGAGGTGGGGCACCAAAAGTGTCTAGTGACAGCATCCTTTTACCAAGGACCCATGAATAAACCATTTGAACATGCTATTTTTATATTTATTTTTATCTATCCTCTGAATACATACATGATAAAAGCTCACCAAACCACAGTTGGGACTTATTATGACTTGACAAATCATAGTAAGTGCCGCCAGCAGAACTATAGGATGATGCCTCCCCCACTGTAAGTACATAAAGACAGTCCAATAAACAAGAGCCCAGAACCAAAATTTACAGCGTGTGAATGAAATAAACTTAGGCCATTTAAAGGGGTCATAGTTTAGCACAACTATCACTAACCCACTAACTACAGGTGATAGACGAGGAGTACCAGCAATTCGTTATGAAAGAGCATTCATTTGTATTTATTTACTTGTTCATTCTCTATATCCAAAAATATTTAAATTCACAGAGAAGTTGAACAACTATTACAATAAACTCCACTCACTCATCCTTCACCCAGATTCATCAGTGGCCACCATTTCATCACACTGGCTTTCTGTCTACATATATTAGATTTGCTGTTGCAATTGAACCATCTGTAAGATGTTACAAAACCACCCCCACCTCAGTTTGCATCT